AGACGAGGGCCCTTGCCTTGAAACAAGTATGGAATACGGAAAACATGAACTATTTCTGTTCAGGACTCTGTATTGAATACATGAAGTTCTTTTCGTTCATAGACTAATTTTGACCAAAAAAATCTCCGCAACTGATACTTAAAATTGTGCCCGCACTGGACAAATTCTCTGGCTCCGCCCCTGATTGTAAGTCTATTTCTTTTTTTATTCATTATTAACTTGTACTTATTATTATTTTTTTTTACCTAACTTGTTCAGAAAATATTAATTTGTATATAATTTTAATTTTGCTTACGTATCGTGCAATCGTTCCTAAGTCCAGATAAAGAAGGATGGTTTTAGAGCTTAAGTTATTTTTTTGACAAAATGGTTTTTTCCTTTCAAATTTACATCTTTGATATACTTCGAGGTGAAAATTTCAATTTTAATTTTTTTACAAAAGAAATAAATGACGCTTCTCGAGTGATTAGCTAGCTGGCTCAGCTCGCCCTATTAAGGGGCGATGTGGTGTGGTGAGCCAAGCGGAGGTATTTGGTTACGAGCCAGTTTGTGCTCGGCCTGTCCCATATATGAGCGCGAGCTAGCACGTATGATGGGCAGAGTTGAGCGACTTGATTCTGTCTGTTTAACCCTCTTTTTTCTTATGGATTTTCCATGTTGAAAGTACATTGGCCCAAATCTTTCAGGTTACTTATTCATGAGTAATTTTATTATTTGTTATCTTCTTGAGTTTGCATAACTCAAGTTGAATTCAGAATTTGCAGGGTTCAAATTTTTGAAGTAGGAGGCCGTTGAGGCCAAGAATGCGCATTCTCTGTGAGATGTGAATGTTTTGCTACTTAGTGAAAATCAGAATCTACAGATAGGAAAGTAGGAAGCTACCTTGGATACCGAAAGGGCGAACCGAGCTGGCCGAGATGATGCTTGGAAGCTTGCTGTGGAGGAAGAGCTTGTGGGGGGCTCAAAGAGTTTTCAGATGCCAAGATTTCTGATTTGGAGAACTGTTTGGAAAACTATTAGTTGGATGTTGAGGTTTCTACTAAGGTTTTCCTATGATTTGACTTCAAGAAGGTCATTACATGGGATCCAAATAGGTGATTTGGGAGTATGGTCGGTTGTGCCGTGCCCTTGGCATGCCAAGTTCTCTAGAAGAGTCGACCAGAGATGGGACTTCGACTGGTGAGAGAGCTACGGTTATCAAACCAAGTGGTGCCAATGATGATGATCTTACATGAATTCCTTTGGTTATACATTTCCCAGTGTAGTTATCGTTTTGTATTTCTGTGTGGACTTGTGTAATGTGACTTGAACATATATATTCAGAACTTATTTAAGTAGGCATTCGAACTTATAGTGCTGTTTGAATTTGTGATGGCTGCATGTTAGCCTAATATGATCGCTTGGCTGCAAACGTTTGATCAAACACGATTTGCATCTTCATGTGAAACTTTTTGAAAATATGCACTATTTCAAAGCAAGACCAAGTAATGAACATAAACAAAAAATTCAACTTTAATAGTATTTCAAAACTTTACTTTGAAACAAATTCAATCACACGATATTGTAAAATCTGAAAATTTCAGGACTTTCAAAAATGGGTTTTGCTATGTGTGACACCCCGGTGTACATCTCCCTCGCAATAGGGGGATCTACAATTTTATTTATTGGTCGTAAGCCCCTTCTTGGGAGGGGAGGGGACTCTGGTGTACAAATGGTAAATACTTTAAAAATAATTATAAACCGGATATTCACTTGGGAGACGTGTAGCTACTGGACTGTGACGTGGCGTGTCTGAACATTGGTTAATTGCCACGTAGATTGTCGTTTTTTTGTTGGCTTTTGCATGGACCCACCCAAATGTCCACCTTTCTTTAGTCTTCACATAAATTTTCACGCTCTTAAATCCCTATTACTTTCTGCAACTCCCCTTCTAATTAGCTTTCAACCATTTTTATTCTTTCATCAGAAAATGGAATTTTTAATTGGAATCATATGCATTGTACTAGTTACTGGTGGTTCCGGCCAGGCTCCTTCGGTAGAGTCAACTGCACCTACGGTGGCTGCTCCCACTGTGTTTAGTTCTAATGTCCCAGTACCGGCTCCGGATTCTACGCCGTTAAATTCTCCAAAGCTGGTGATTTTGCCACCAGCTGCTTCCGTTCCTACTCCATTGTCTGTTCCGGTGATCATGCCGCCGACAGTTTCGACTGCAGCTCCATTGTCCGAACCAATAAGCTTACCGCCCACTGTTTCTACTCCTGCTCTTGTACCGGTGAGCCATCCACCAGTTGATTCCACTCTGGTTCCAGCCTTCACACCAGTGAACCATCCACCTTCTGTTTCCACTTCTGCACCAGTGAGCCATCCACCAACTGTTTTTACACAAGCTCCACTTCAAGCGCCCGTCGGCTCCCCCCTGACGACAGTTCCTGTCCATTCTCCAATCTCATCACCACAAGCTGAATCTTCACCATCTCCGGCTCCAAGAAAAAACCACAATGCACCTTCACCGGCTCCAATTTCTTCACCACCCACCCATACTCCGGCTCCAAGAAAGAAGAAGGGCAAGAAGCACCATTCACCTTCACCATCTCCAGCTCCGGCTCCAGCACCAAAGCCGCTTGGTTCATCCGAATCTCCCGGACCTAGCCCTGAATCCAATTCTCCTAGTCCTACTTCAGATGATGACGAGGTAGATTTCAGGTTAATCTCATTTTACTGGTTGCTTTACCCGTCCTCCTTCCATTTAGTTCCAGAGTAAAGTTTGCGTGAAAAAGCCCTGGTCAAATTCTTGTGTTAAAATCTTAATTCACCACCTTAAAATCGAATTCTAGTTGTGTTTCACAGGGAAACTTATTGATTGTTAAAATGAACGCGCACGCGCACTATAAAATTGCTGCTTACAAAACAATAGCGGTGCGTTTTGTTGTCTTAGGAACAGTCTATTCTCCAAATTCTCTGTCTTTACTCTTTATAGAAGCTTGTCCACATATGGCGCATGATATCACAACCTTGAATTAAATTAAGACGTTCGTGGAAAACATACGTCTCTCTAGGCGCACGTTAGCACTCTGTGCATGCATGGTCTGAACTATTTCTTCCATTGGTAGAAATTAAAATTACTTATTTCTCAAGATTATTTTGTGGGTCTATGATTTTAACTTGTGGAAATTACTTTTCTGCAGAATGGAGCAATGAAATTGATGAACGTCCAACATCTGGTGGGAAGTTTGGCATTGGGAGGGGCATTGTTTGGCTTGTTGTTGTTCTTCTTCTAAAGACGTGATTATGCTTCAAAATCTTAATTAATCCGATCATTACCAATGTCTTTAGTTTGTTAATATGTTTAGTTTCATTAATTTGCATCCGAGGAAATAGTAGGAAATAACCCTTTCATTCTTGAATAATTCTAAAATAACCTTTGACTAACAAATAAAATTAAAAAAAAATAAAAAATACTAAAA